GTGGGTCATTTGACCCTACTTGATGAGTTGTGTCACAGCTTCTTGCCTCACCCCACTCCCAGCTGTGTGGAGGTGGGCAGGTCGGGGGTCTGCCCGGCACCATGGCTGGCTGGGCATTGAGAGGCCAGCTGGGGGCGTGATCTTCTCCTCCCTGCCTATTTTGCTCTCACCTGCTGGCCACCTAGGGTGGGAGTCTGGTTGAGTTCAAGTCTCCCCTACCTGGTTCTGTCCCACAGGTGGGGGGCTTGGAGCCTGAAGCCTGGGCCTGCCTCCCAGGGCAGGGTCTTCGCTACCTGGAACATCTGTGCCTGGTGTTGGAGCAGATGGCGAGGCTGCAGCAGCTCCACCTGCAGCTGCAGACCCAGAGGCCTCTGGGAGTGAGTGATCCGAGGGGTGGTCAGGCCAGCGGGTGGACGGGCGAATGGGGGAGGCCGAGGAGTCTTCCTTCGGAACAGCCTAGGCCGCCAGTCAGGCCCTGAGCGCCCATCTCTTCTGTGCGCAGGACCCTGTAGAGGAAGAGGAGGAGGAGAAGTTGGAGTCGGAGTTGGAGTCGGCCCTGGCGCCTTCACATCCATCCTCCCATGCCCCAGGCAGTGAGGTGCACAGGCCATGGGAACTGCTCAGCCAGACAGAGGAGACAGGTGAGGGGCAATCGTGTCTCCCTCTGTGTCCTGCCTGCCTGGGGACCCCACAGGGAGATCCCCTGAGCCCTGGGGCTTGGTGAGTGTGTTCCTGTTCCTGGCCTTGGGTAACCTGATTCTCTCTCTAAAGGGGCAAAAGGAGCTTCACTCCCAAAGGTGGGCTTGCCCAGTGCCAACCCTCCCAGGCTCTCAGAGGCCCCAGCAGAGCCAGCTCACGCCTTTCGATCCTCCCAGGGTCACAAGGTAGGTGATGGGTGTGTGTGGGGCAGATAGGATGGGGCTAATGGTGGGAGGGGTTGGCATGGGTGGATACCCTAAAGGCTAGAAACTCTGGAAAGATGAGAGAATTCCTGTATGGAGCAAGTGACTTCTCCGGGCTGTGGTGACAGCTGCTTGTGGGTATGTAATGAGGTAGGGCTGTGTGTGGTGACCCCCTCGCCCTCTGCTCAGCGGGATCTCTCCCACTGGAACAAGGTCAAGATCCTGCTCAACCGGATCCGCTGGAAGAGCCCTCGACACCCTGAGCCCCCTGCCCCTCCTGATGGCCCTGCCCCCAGGTGAGTCCTGTGGCCCAGCCCAGGTTAGGGCAGAGGGAGGAGCCTGATGAAGCAGGATGCTGAGCTTGTACTGCCAGTTGTTCTCTTTGTCCCTGTGGACTCTGAGTGACAGAGACAGTCTGGGAGAGGGTGCTGGAAAAAACGGAAAGTAGTTAAAGCTCCCCATTTTGGATGAGGCTGGGCACCGGACTGGGGAGGGAAGACACTTTCTTGAGGCCACATGATGAGTCAGTGGCAGAACCAGGACCAAGATATGGGAAACATCCTTATGCCAGCCCAGCAAGCCCACACCCCTCAAAGCTGAAACTTAGGCCACCTTCCTAGGTTTGCAGGGCAAGCAAGGTAGGGGCGCAGATGAAGGATTCCACAGTGGATGACGGGGGGTTTTGCTGAATAATTCTCAAGGGGGAATAAGCGCCCTGTCGATCACTATTCCCAGGCTCCCCACAGCGGATAAGCTATGCTCAATCCATTTTGAGGTGATTGTTGCCTTTGTTTCCTCCTCCTAGCCTAAGGCCACTTTCCTTTTCCACAGGATTGAGTCGAGGGACCTCCCTGAAAGATCTCCATGTCGCCCCCTCCAGAAGACCTTTATGCCATCATTAGTGGTGAAGAAGCAACGAGCAAAAAACCTGTCTGTCTGCTGAGACCTCCTGGTACAGGGACGTGACCCTGGGTGGAGGGGTGTGCAGTGAAGTCTTCTTCCTCACCCTTTGCCTTGTTGCTGTTTCTGGGCACTGCCAGGAAAAGCTGCCAACACTTGCTCTTCTCTCTGAGGCGAGGGCTGAGTCTTTCTCCTTTGAGCAGGCTGGCAGCAGAGCCCTGGTGTCCTGAGAAGCTCCAAAGTATGGCAGCTCCCGGGCACCCACCTGGCAGCCAGAAATTCCTGGGCTTACACAATGTGAACTAACTTATTTATCAAGCATCCGTGGAGCGTGTTTGGCATGGTGATCTGCTGGGGCTCGGCATGTTGCCGATGTGAATATGTACAAAATGATATATATATATTTCTGTGAGACTGTCGCTGTTGTGAACTAGCTGTATCCAACCATTTCTCCTGAATCACATACTCAGAGGGTTGGTCTTCTGGATGAGGTAATTGCAGAAGAATGGAACTGACCTTCATTCCTCAGAGGACAGTTGCTGATCTGGAGTCCTGCTTTCCTCCTTGTACCTACACCGGTAGCCCCAGGACAGAGAAAGGGCACCATCTTGGCCACTTCTGCTTTGAATCATCCCTTGGAGCAGAGCCTCTGAAGACTGCACAAGGAATGGAAGAGTTAGGGAAAACTTGGGGAATAGTGGAGTAACCTTCAAGGTCTTTTCTTAGCTGCTTGCGCCCTACTAGCCTTTACATGTCAGAGGTGAAACCAGAGGCCCAAACTAGCTTTTAGACATTGACAAAATCCCTTAACTTGTCTGAGCCATACCTTCCCACTTAATTTCCAAATGGTATAATGATGCCTGCCTTACCTACCTCACAGGCTTGTTAAAATAGATAAAATGAGATTAAACTGTCTCAAAGTGTTTTGTGAATGTTAAATGAAAAGTGCAGGGTAGGGGCGTTGGAGGGAGGCTAGACTGGAGGGAAGGTCAGAGGATGAAGGGAGACTGGGATTGCTAATGGGGACCGAAATGGCCGGTGATCAGCTGCAAGACTTTGAGCAAATCATTTCACTGGGATCTCTCATGTTTTGTATCTGAAAATTAGGGCACTAATTCCTGCCCTGCTTACCCCCGACAAGCGTCATTGTGAGGACTGAAAGAAAAGTCCATAAGAACTCTTTGCAAATGTACACCTAAATACTGTGGTGGTTTATTTTACTACAGCCTGTTATATTCCTGGCTCTTTGTTAATTGAGAAAGGGGAAAAGCTTAGTGTGCAGGTACCCAGAGGACGGGAGGTGTGTGTGTGGGGTGCCCTCAGTGGACGGGCTCGGCTGGGCTGGGGATGGGTTCTTTGGCTTGAGTCAGACATGGCCACTGATCAGGCATCCGACCTCCTCCCGGTCAGGAGGGTTTGGTTCTCTTGTGACTGCAGTCTTGGGGTCTGCCAGATGAGGCAAGGGGCGGGTGGTAAGTGCTTCCTTATGTTTGGGGTCCACTTCCAGTTGTCTTTGGACCAGGAACTAATTCTCTGAAGCCTATTTTTCTAATGGGACACTTAAGCGAGGACACAACCGAGGCGCGGCTTCCTAATGCGCATCCGATCGGGGAAAGTGCACTTCCGCTCCCCAGCAGGAGCGGGATGGCAGGCCGGCGTGGGGGAAGGGAGAGGTCGGTGGAGCGGAGGGAGGGACCATATCCGGGATAGTGGCAGCTTCCGACCAGTGGTCGCGCTTCCGGAGAGGCGCTTCCGGTGGCGGCAGCAGCAGCGGCTGTGGTGGTTCCGGGTGTCTTTGTCCCCCCGGTGTCGCGGCCCTGGCCCGCAGGTGGGTTGGGGGGCCTCCCGCCGCCACCCTGCTCCTTTGCTCCTGCCCCGACAGAGGAGTTGGGAGGGCCGGGCAGCGAAGATGCACGGGGCGCGGAAGGGGCCGAGCCCCCTCACACTGCAAGTCCTGTCTCCCTGGCAACGGCCTCGGCCCTGGGGGCGGGCGGGAGGAGGAGAAACCGCGCGCCTCAGTCCTCCCACGGTGGCCTGGCCACGGCCAGGCCTGGGAGACTCGGTGCCGCTGGCCGCTGAGGCGAGAGCGAAGGGCCGGGGAACTCGAGAGCGGGAGGGCGGTCGCGCACCCCGATTCGCTGTGGGCCGGGCCACACATCTACCTTCCCATCAGCCCGGCCTGGGGACAACGGGCCGGGCTTCCGGGGAGAGGGACCACACGATCTCCTCTCCGGCAGCAGCCTCCTCCATTTTTCCGGGCCTCGAGTGGACATTTTGGCGGATGTATTTGAATGAATGAATGTCTCCGGGGCTCTTTCCAACCCTCCAACCTTCTGGGGGTGGCGTGGCATAGTGAAAAGAGCGCTAAGTTATCGGGAGACCTGGGTGTGAGTCCTAGTTTTGTCGCTAACTGGTTATGTGGCCTCAGGCAAGTCTCTTAATCTCTGAGCTTCAGTTTCCTTTTCTTTAAAATAGCATGGCAGCATCACCCAACACTAGGTTATTGTGAGGGCAAACTAGAACAGTGTAATTTCTTCATTTTCTGCTACTCTTTATACTCCTTTCATCTGTCACCTCTCTTCATTCTCAGTGCCACTCTCCCCACTTTCCTTAAGGGCCTTATTTCCTTTTTTGGGGATTGATGGAAATTCCTCTATGAGCTGTTAATTTATTTCTTTTCTGATTGAAGGTTTTTTCCCAAGACTCTGAAAGAGGACAGCATTCCCAATGTCCCAGTTTAAGCGCCAGCGAATCAACCCACTTCCAGGGGGACGCAACTTCTCAGGTGATCACCCACCTGGGCTCATACCAGGAAGTATGTGCTTTGGAATTAAGTCTTTAAATATATGGCTTTTGGGGTTTCCCTGGTGGAGTGCAATTTACTGCCGATGTTGCTAGGAAAATAGGAGATGACCACAGCAGATGCTATTGAAACCCTGGAGAGGCATTGCCTGGAGCCACATTGTCCTTTGTATTTGCCATATCCTCTAGTTGACTCTAGCGCTTAAGATGGTAGGTGCCGTTCCTGGAGATTGCTTCTGTGTCCCCATAGGCGCAGCTTCAACATCTCTTTTGGGCCCTCCTCCTGGTTTGCTTACTCCTCCTGTGGCCACAGACCTGTCCCAAAATGCCAGGCACCTTCAGGTAGGTTGGGCATCCTTTCTAGCGAGTTTCAGCCCTTGGGACTTGCCCTGCATGCATAGACGCCTGATGTTTTTATTCTTACATCACACTGTTTGTCATTCCTGACATGCCTGTCTTGGGCCAGTATAGAGGTAACTAGACACCTCTAACTGGGGAGTCTTGAGTTCTGGCTCTAGGGAAATCTTTAGGGTGCTTCTTGGAATTAAGAAGAACTGGAAATCCTAGAAGAAGCTTGTGATGCAAGAGTCAGCATGATTCCTCCACCACCACCGCAAATAGATTATGTCTGCTAAACATGTATGCTTCCTTACCTGTGAATTTCGATCTCTGATTGAGCCGGGGTGGGGCCGGGTGGGCAATAGAGATGACATACTAATGGCAAAGCATGGACAAATTCTCCCTGTTTTAAACTGTACTCTTCTCTTATAGGGTGGGGAGAAGCAGCGGGTCTTCACTGGCATTGTTACCAGCTTGCACGACTACTTTGGGGTGGTGGATGAAGAGGTCTTTTTTCAGCTAAGGTAGGTTTGAGGCTGGTCTCTTGAAAATGCTTATTGGGTTCAGTTGTCACCATGCTTGTGGGGCCCCTCTGAAGCATTGCTTTGCTGTTTTTATGCAAGGTTTGAGAAATTTTGATGGGAAGGGCCTCATAGGGCAGTCAGGGTGGCTTGGCCAGGGTTTTTCTCCTGACTGGGCCTCCTGGCTTGTGCGCTGGCAGTGTGGTGAAGGGCCGGCTGCCCCAGCTGGGTGAGAAGGTGCTGGTGAAGGCTGCATACAACCCAGGCCAGGCAGTGCCTTGGAATGCTGTCAAGGTGCAAACGCTCTCCAACCAGGTATTTATTTCTCCTTCGCATGTGCATTGGAAAGGGGAAGGAGGGAAGCCCCTGTGTTCTGAAAGCTGGGCAAGAACCTTCCTTTTGTTGAGAGGGCGGGGCTGTATCTGTCCAAGGTAGTGAGCACATCAACCATGGGATTCCCTGAATTTCCTGGTTACTGTCCTGCAGCCCCTACTGAAGTCCCCAGCACCTCCCCTTCTACATGTGGCAGCCCTGGGCCAGAAGCAAGGGATTCTGGGAGCTCAGCCCCAACTGATCTTTCAGCCTCACCGGATTCC